AGAGAATCAGAACTTTTACTGCTTATGCAAATGAACAAGTTTGGTTGAGGGCAGGGTAGGCAGAAAGATTATTACATCGTCTTCAAGGAAACTGGAAGCAAAGCAAAAGTCACTATAAAAATGGTATAACATTGGTTTTAGGGGGGGGGCTTGACTGCTGTAACAGGTGAAAGGAAATGTCAGTAAACTGTTGGACTGTATGTGCCTAATTCCTTGTGGATACCTCTACACCTCTGTAGATCCAGGAAATCAGAAAAGCATCCATATTCTTGGGGATTTACACACATTAGGGCTGGGAGATATCTGGTTTTCAACATCGTGATATATACCAATAAATCATGATGTCCGAAATAAGGATGGAGCTATGTAAAGTTATTGTCTGGCTTCACATTTTTTTCCATAACATGATTTTTGCATAGAACACACAAACACATCACGATTTACAATATATTGCCAGATTAAATATTATGAAACAGATACTAAGATATGGAGTTCAAACTGGTTTGGGACGATATATCCCCCAGCCCTAACACACATCATCAATAAAAATAACAGACTGGAATTTCTGTGTACAGTCTGAGTCTATCATTATTAAGATGGTTACTCTTGCCCCCCCTTCCCCATTATGTGCCTCTTTCTAATGCAGGGGTAGCCAATGTGATGTCTTCCATATGTTGTTAGACCCCCATCAGCCCCAGCAAGCTCCCAGGGAAAGGAGAAGGGGGATGTTTACAGGCACATGTGATTTCGCTTGCCCAGTCCTGGAGGGCACCATGTTGGCTACCACTGTTCTAATATATTGTTGAGAACGCACAAATCTGCTAGCGTGAAGACTGGGATACCAGCTCCAAAAACAGAACTATCTGAAAGAGAGAGGAGCTGGATTAAAAAAACCCCCAGAAAATATGTTAAACTGGTTGCCCTTCATTGATCAATACTGCCAGCACCTTCTACTCACAAGAACAGGCGCATCAGAAGAAGGCAGCTATTTGCCTCAGCTCATTTAGCAATCAAAGTCACATGTGCCAAATACAAAATGTCGAAATCTAATAGTACTGGTTTAAGCAAGGAAGTCCAATTTCCTCCTTTGTAACTCTTGACATCTTGGCCATATGCCATGTTCTTGCCTGGTTTCTGCAACAGAAGGCTTGGTACTGTAGGTCAGTGGATGATAAGGAAATGAACATTCTACTTTGCTAGTCCTCCAAAGGCAGCTGTGTCATGAGCTTATTCATGCATATCTCACGAGTGGAAAACCACAGGGGGGAAAAGACACAAATGAATGGCAGCAGCTGGAAAGCTCTAATACCAAAAAACACTTTCCAATGCCTGACAGAAACTCTTAGTCTCGGCTGCTTAGACTGGATTCACCAAGCAGGTACCATAACCTAAAATAAACAATATAGCACTGCAACATAGCACTTCCTCTTTGGGGAGAAAGACCAGGATAGAAATTTAATGAATACATAAAACATACGAAAGCGTCTAATAGCCATGAATAAAATTCACTTCAGGAGGGCTGGAGAACCTGCAGCCTGCCAGATCCTATTGGACTATAAGTCCCATCATCCCTGAACACTGACCATGCTGGCTTTGGGCTGCGGGAAACAGAGTCCAACAACATCTCGAGGGCTACAAATTATTCATCCCTGCCCTAAAAAGATCTCATTGGGCATTGCTTTGTTTTATACACACGTAGCTGGCTCTTACAAAAAACATCATAAAAACAAGTGCAAGTAATTTTTCTTTGGGAGATTTTTGTACATGCTCATGCATTACATAAGGGCACAATTAGTCTTCAATCCAAGCCCCCTTCTTACCACTTCACAAATGCCAAGCACCCTAGAAACAAGGAGTTGTCCTAAGGTTTGAATACTGAGAGGCAATAACACATGCAAACTTGCTTGTATAGAGTAGATAGAAATCTGAGGATTTCATGCCATAACCCTATGTGTGGAAACACTCTGCTGACCTGACAAACAACTTTCTTTGCAACTTTGGCCCACTCCTACAGATGCCATTCATTAGCTACTACATGCAATTTGTCATCACCTTACCTCAGATGAGTAGTAATTGCTCTCCAATCATCACCTAACCAACAAAATGCACTGCCAAAATGTGCTGCCACTCCTCTGGGACAGGGACTAGACAACACCATTGCAACTGCACTTATGGCTCTCCATTTTCCGGGTCTTAGCCCTTCAATGTAGGTGATAAACAACCACAAGTGCATGCTGTATTCGCTCAGTCAATCAATAATAATACCTTTATTATCAATGTACAACCTGTGTACAATGAAATTAAGGGCAATCAAGGGCAATATTATGGTGGTTAGGAATGCCCACATGTCCTCACCATTAAGGCTAGGATGAAAAGGAAGCATGAAGACTACCGTACTTTTTGCTCTATAAGACTCACTTTACCCCTCCTAAAAAGTAAGGGGAAATGTGTGTGCGTGTTATGGAGTGAATGCAGGCTGCGCAGCTATCCCAGAAGCCAGGACAGCAAGAGGGATTACTGCTTTCACTGCGCAGCGATCCCTCTTGCTGTTCTGGCTTCTGAGATTCAGAATATTTTTTTTTCTTGTTTTCCTCCTCCAAAAACTAGGTGCGTCTTGTGATCTGGTGCGTCTTATAGAGCGAAAAATACGGTATGTCCTTAATACCAGCTGCTCTCAATATCTGACTTTATTATTTGCTGGCTACCAACACAGCAGCCAGTAGGAGTTGGCACATTTGCTCCTGATGATACCTTTGCAATCATGTAAACCACCTGGCATTGCTTGATGGAAGGCAGCAGGAAAACAAGCATGTACCACGGGCTGTTGACAATGCTCCTGCTCTAGCTGCCTGGTCCTCGGCCCCTAAAAGTGAATGACTTGCTAGGAGAGAGGGGATGACAGCTGAGGAAAATGACTTTGACACATATATCATATCTGCTGACCCATCTAAAGGTGAAAATAAGATAGAAGGCTCATGGTGTTCTCTCACCTAGGCTTTCTCTCATTCAGAGTTGCTGCTGCCAAGATGTCTCATCTCTTACGTTTTCATAAATACCATCTATTCCATGCCATAGAATATGAAGTGGAGCTAGCAGTTAGTTAAGGTAAAGGTAAAGGGACCCCTGACCATTAGGTCTAGTCGTGACCGACTCTGGGGTTGCAGCGCTCATCTCGCTTTATTGGCCGAGGGAGCCGGCGTACAGCTTCCGGGTCATGTGGCCAGCATGACTAAGCCGCTTCTGGCAAACCAGAGCAGCGCATGGAAACACCCTTTACCTTCCCGCCAGAGCGATACCTATTTATCTATTTGCACTTTGACGTGCTTTCGAACTGCTAGGTTGGCAGGAGCAGGGACCGAGCAATGGGAGCTCACGCCTTTGCAGGTATTCGAACCGCCAACCTTCTGATAAGCAAGTCCTAGGCTCTGTGGTTTAACCCACAGCACCACCCACGTACCTCCTCATAAATTGCCTGCAATGCTGAACTGCTATTTCCTTACAACTATTTGATATTTCCCAATAGCTTTCAATATCCAAACTTTCTGCAAACCTAGCAGTTTTTAGATCAGCACAAGCAGATAAATCGGTACCACTGTGAACGGCGTTTCTGTGCACTCTGGCTTCCATCACAGTGTTCTGTTGTGCCAGAAGTGGTTTAGTCATGCTGGACACATGACCCAGAAAGCTGTCTGTGGACAAACGCCAGCTCCCTCAGCCTGAAGCAAGATGAGAGCCACACACCATCTTCACCTTTGACTGGACTTAACCATCCAGTGGTCCTCTACCTTTACCTTTTTATATCCAATTTGTTCTATAAAGAGACTCAGAAGCAGTTGAGTGAATAATGCAAAGGCAGTCAGGAAGTTTGAAAGTTTTTTGCTTATTGTGTTTTGTAAAGGAAATTTTTAAAAATGTAGGAGGAGGAGAGTCTAGAGAGGACACACATGCTTTCTATTTCCATCACCCCTTTCAAGGTCTCAATAGTGGACAGCCTCCTAACCCAGGGGGCCAGCATTAAGGTCTCTGCAACATGGATACCTTTCTTTGTAATACAGTGGTACCTCGGGTTAAGTACTTAATTTGTTCCGGAGATCCATTCTTAACCTGAAACTGTTCTTAACCTGAAGCACCACTTTAGCTAATGGGGCCTCCTGCTGCTGCCACGCCACGGGAGCACGATTTCTGTGCTCAGAAAAGTTCTTAACCCGAGGTACTATTTCTGGGTTAGCGGAGTCTGTAACCTGAAGCGTATGTAACCTGAAGCATATGTAACCAGAGGTACTACTATATGTTTAACTAGTTCTTTCATCTGACCAGGACCTCGGATGGGACAACCGCATTAATACCAGGAGAACAAATCTATGAAGTTTGCATGTTGTGATTCCCAACCATAATGATACAACTCCATTCAGGATTTGGAGGCTACACTAAGTCATCAGCTTAAGCAATTCCAGCTATTCTGCAAGCTGACACATACCTAACTTGTTCACAGAAATAACTACAGACATACATTAATGCAGTGAAGCTGCGGGAATTGAGAATAGTTTGGGCTTAGGTTGGTAGAATATCAAAATCTGATTTATAATATTTAGGCTCTCTAACGACCTATACAAGGTTGGGGCATAATGAGAGGATTTATGTTGAACTTAAGGTCCCAACATCACACAGGTCTTTGGCAAAGACACCATCTATTAGGAATATTAGTTTGATGGTTTTAAATATTTATCCAACACCCCTCAATCACAGGGATTCTTCAGCTGGATAAAGCCATCAGCATATAATGAACAAATAAAAGCAGTGAACAATTCCTTTTCAGTACCACAAATAAAAATCCATTAAAAGCTAAATAGAAAAGTAGCATTTCCTACAAATAATCTGAGGGGGAGCTTGAAGACAAGGCACCACAAATTTCAGGGCTGATCTCTGGTTGTCAACCACCTCACCTCAGAAGGGAAGTAGACCCTCAGAAGATTATTAATGGTCAGAAGTGTTCATTTTAGGAATGAGTAGTCAGTAGAGCATGAGACTCTTAATCTCAGGGTCATGGGTTCAAGCCCCATGTTAAGCAAAAAGATTCCTGCATTGCAGAGGGCAGGACTAGAAGACCCTCGTGGTCTCTTTCAACTCTACAATTCTATGATTCTATTATTTATTTCCAGTCCATGTCACTTTCAGTGCCTCAACCTGGTGGGATAATGAAAGTTCTGCAACGTAATTTAGTCCAGGAGGGGCTGTTCAGGTCAGGTCAATAAGCATCAGAACTGATTGACTGAATTCCTCAAGAATCCCTATTTCATATGTGTATTAGCAGTCTTTGACTATGAGTAATATTTTAAGTACAAACAAACAAACAAACAAACAAACAAACAAATATAGAAGCAGGCCATCCGTGAATTCTCTGCACAAGTGGGCTGGAGAGAACTATATTTCAAATGCATATTGCACCCAGAACCACCATTATTTTGCATCTGCTTTTACCAGATCTCTAAAGCCTCCTATCTTTACGAACCAACAGCAGAAGAGATGGAACTGTGATTCACTCTGCAATGTAAAGGTTAAACTTGTATAGTATTTTACTTTTTTTATCCATTTTCCAAAAAGGTCTCCATGTTTTGTTTTTTTAAAAACCCAACCCTGCTCCCAGCAGACTGTGTGTCAGCTGAAATGTAAATGAAGCTACAATTAATATTCAATGGCAAAACCTATTCCTTTTGATCAGGCCCTCTGTCAACTAATTAATGTTTTTGCTCTGCATCCAAGTCTTTCCTTCCAGGCCAGATAACTCTCACACCCAGCCTAATTAAGAACACCTATGGGATTTACAGTACCTCCAAGATTGTCAGAAGAAGAAAAATCCTAGTGTTCACTGTTAACTTACCTGCATATTTGACTATTTGATCCAGTTAGAAACTAGCTTGTTTCTCATGTGAACCATGAAAAAGATGTTCTAAAAGTGATGAATCACACTGTTTCATATCATATAGGGTCCTACTTTTTTATTTGTATGAAACACCATCTCAGCACGATCCAAATACATTTGGGGGTTGATGACACAATATGGGAAAGTTACAATTCATGGATACCAAAGGTTGTCTTGATCACCAACCTGAAATACAAGCTGATGGACTCACAGCCTACAAATACATTTTATGTTTACACTATTTTCACCTTCAGAAGTTAGCACTTTTTAAAAAATACATCTGCTTTAAAAAAAACCTAAATATTTTGGTTAAGTAATCCTTGGTTCAACCTGACCATTCAGAATGAACAAGGCATGATATCAATACAGTGGCCAAACTGGACATCACACTAAATCATCAGGAGAAGAGTGAAGAAGCACCATCTGACTAATAGCTTAATTTTTATTTTTTCAAGAGTTTTTGTAGATGAAACATATTTGATCAAATGTAGTAATGGACAGAAGAAGATTGGATAGTCAGTTATAAGCAAGTAGAGGGCATGAACATTCAAATTTCATTTAAAGAAATATCTACAGTATACGAGTCCCATTATGCACAGCATTCAAAAATGGAGAAGTAACAGCTACATATCTCTGTAACAGCCATAAAACATGTAGTCTCTGTTCAAAATTGAATTGACACAATCAAAATTTTAGTACAAGTTCCTGTTCAAATATCTCACATTCCATTGTCTCCCTAAATTTACATTTGACTCTGCTGCAAGGTTTATTTCAAACTGTCAGAAATATAATTGGAGGAAAATCTATGCTTATACAGTGGTACCTTGGGTTATGAACTTAATTCGTTCCGAAGGTCCGTTCTTAACGTGAAACCGTTATTAACATCAGGCAGGCTTTCGCTAATGGGGCCTCCAGCTGCCACGCGATTTCTGTTCTCATCCCGTGGCAAAGTTCGCAACCCGGAGCAACTACTTTCGGGTTAGCGGAGTTTGTAACCCGAAGCATTTGTAACCCGAGACACCACTGTATATAGAAAATACCCTAACTTTAATGAAATACAGAAGACCTTAACTTTATCTGGAGCTAGGAATCAGATCTAAATGCCACTGTGCACCTTCATCAACAGCAGCAATCCAATTAGTGTTTCCTTCCAGGGTACATATACCTGTATAAGATCAACTAATATAAATTAGTATGTGTCCTTTGGCAGTATGCATCAGACAAAGAAGCCTGACTTTAAAGCAAACATAAAATGGACATGGGACGCGGTGGTGCTGTGGGTAAAACCTCAGCGCCTAGGACTTGCCGATCGCATGGTCGGCGGTTCGAATCCCCGCGGCGGGGTGAGCTCCCGTCGTTCGGTCCCAGCTCCTGCCCACCTAGCAGTTCGAAAGCACCCTTAAGTGCAAGTAGATAAATAGGTACCGCTTTATAGCAGGAAGGTAAACGGCGTTTCCGTGTGCTGCTCTGCTGCCGGTTTGCCGGAGCAGCCTCGTCACGCTGGCCACGTGACCCAGAAGTGTCTGCGGACAGCGCTGGCTCCCGGCCTCTAGAGTGAGATGAGCGCACAACCCTAGAGTCTGTCAAGACTGGCCCGTACGGGCAGGGGTACCTTTACCTTTACCTAAAATAGACATAGATCTGATAGAAAATCAACAATTCTATTTTTGTTTATTTTAAACTACTGTTGGTTAAAACAAGTCACCAGTCCCAGTTCCTATGTAATGGGAACTATACTTCATTGTGAATGTTTCTTCCTCTCACGTGCATAGAAGGTAGAGAATATGCAAACTTAAGGCTTGCTGCAATTGTCTGACCAAGGCTATAAATAACAACTGACAGATGGTTAAAGTGAAAAACCCTGGTTGAAGACCAGTCAAGATCGAGCTTTTTGATGTGTCTTCCTGGATATGAATCTAAGTAGGAGTATAATTACTCCACTTGGAAGAATTCCTCCAGTCTACGACAGTGAAAAGGAATGCATTCAGAACACTGTGTCTGGAACTCTTAACAAGCGGGGCTTCTTAAAGTCCCCTTTCCTGCCGAGTAGCATCACATTAGTAACCCACATGTTAGAGATGCATGTTCCCACTCTTAATAAAGCTAGAGGAGTGAAACAGAGGGAAGTCATTTAGTCCGCTGCTCAATTCTCTGCCTTCACTTATCAAGCATCACACCAAGCAGGAAGAGCAGAGTGTGCTGACAATAGATGGGAATTGCCGGTCTGCTAGACTGCACCTCCCATTCCTGCAGGTGCAACAGGAGCTGCTGCCACACAGCGAGAACCTGTCATTTATAGTGTTATTATCTGAGAAAGCCGCACCACAACCAGAGCATCAGAAGCTGCCAACCACACAGACTCAAAGCTGACAGAAGGAAAAACCTGAAGCGCTTAAGTGAGCTCCCGTTGCTTTGTCCCAACTTCTGCCAACCTAGCAATTCAAAAGCATGCCCGTGCAAGTAGAAAAATAGGTACCACTATAGCGGGAAGGTACATGGCAATTCCGTACGCTCTGGTTTCCATCATGGTGTTCTGTTGCGCAAGAAGCGGTTTAGTCCTGCTGGCCACATGAACCGGAAAGCTGTCTGTGGACAAACATCGGCTCCCTTGGCCTGAAGCAAGACGAGCGCCGTAACTTCATAGTCACCTTTAACTGAACTTAACTGTCCAGGGATCCTTTACCTTACCTTACCTTTTATGTATGAATGATACCTAGTCAATTGCATCCCTCAGACAACCAACTAATGTGTTATACTGTTTGCTAAATGTCTGCAATAAAGTTTTATACACATGGATTTTGAGAAGACAACTACTGCTAATTTCTGTTTGGGAGGAGGAAGAGATGGGTGTTGATTTCTGCTCATCCATCTCCTACCACAAGCTCCACTGCAACCTTTATGGCTACAAACACTGTAGAAAGCAGTTTCCCAAGCTCTTCAATTTTTTTTAACAAATAATAATAATTAATAAATGAAAATAAAAATGTGCACCCCACCCCCAAGACCATTCCATTATAACTATCCAACCTCTCAAAATTTCAACATCTCTTGCAGTGGTTTGGCCCCTTTCCATTTTAACAGTACAAATTCTACGAATACTTTCCATCTATCCTCAAAATCATTTCTCCTGCATACTCCCCATCTTACCTTAATAGAACATGTTAATTTATCATTAATAGCTATATCCCACACCTCTTTATACCATTCTTATTTTATATTCACCTTGCCCCTTCCACTTCCTAGCTATAATAATGCATGCAGCTTTCAATAAATTTGTGAGCAAGTCATTCATAGCCTGTGAACCTTCCACCTCATTGTAAATTGATAATAATGCTACTTTTGGTCAGCTTTAACCCAATTATTTTCTCCTTAAACACCCTTTGCCAAAAAGCTCTTCAATTCTTATACTCTGCCACACACAAAAACAAGCTGCTAGTACTAGGTCTTCTTATCCCAATTCTTGCCATGAATAGTTTATAGCAACAGCAGGGAAGAAAGCTATCTGCCCATACACTCCCAAGCTCAGGCACCTGGTTTCATTTGTCTTTTCCATGGTGAGGCTGCACCACTGTGCCTACCACGTGGCAGTGGTTGCAGTGAAGAAAGCCTACTCTGCTCTGCCACTATTATGTCTGCAAGCAGCCATCCAGCAGAGCTTTTCCAAATAGTGCATGGGCTTGTAAAATCAGACTAAAAGACAGTTGCTCTGACATCCATTGAGGCCTGCTGTAACAAATTTGCAGGGCACGTTAGGAACAAGATTGTTCAGATTCAGATAGACTTGGATGCCACAGTTAGAGCAAGTCTAGAACAGTCTGTTCCATATACAAAGGATCAATTTGGATTACTGCAGCTTGAAGATATGGAAAAGCTTGAAGAAGTGCAGCCAGCCACCTGCCTCCTTGACCTTTGCCCATCTTATCTTCTTAAAACTAGCTGTAGGGGTTTGTCTGGGTGGGTTCTGGGAGTGATTAATGCTTCAATTGGAGCAGGAACCGGCAAGCCACTCCAGTATCCCTGCCAAGAAAACTCCATGGACAAAGACAACAGGCATATAGAGTGCCTGGCGTGCTCTGGCCCATGGGGTCACGAAGAGTCGGACACGACTAAACGACTAAACAACAACAAAATGCTTCAATGGAGAAGGGAAACTATCATCTACCTTGAAGGAGGCAATGGTATCCCCCTCCTTAAAAATACCTCTGCATACCTAGAAATGTTTTCGCCCCATGGAAAACAGCCCTTTTCTGGGCAAGGTACTTGAGAAGGTGGCAGCAGTCCAGCTTCATGCATGGTTGGAGGAAGCTGATTACACAGATCCACTCCAGACACGATTCAAGTCTGTTAATGGTACTGAAACTGCATTGGTCATTCTTGTTGATGACATTTATCGAGAGATAAATTGAGGGAGTGCAATCATTGCCTTCTCCTTGCTCTGTTGGATGCTTTTGATACTCTTGACCACAGTATATTTCATCATAAGCTAGTATGGTATCTGCTGGTGCTCCCTTACTTCAGTGGTTCCACTCCTACATCCAGGGCCATTTCCAGACTACTGTTCAGCACCATGGGGGTTGCCCTGTGGTGTCCCACAGGGTTCCATCTTGTTCGCCGTGTTATTTAACATCTTTATGAAGCCTCTGAGAGCTGTCATCAAGAGATAGCTCAGTTGGTTAGAGCATGGCGCTGATAATGCCAAGGTTGCAGGCTCAATCCCCATATGGGACAGCTGCATATTCCTGCATTACAGGGGGTTGAACTAGATCAGGTGTCAGCAAACTTCTTCAGCAGGGGGCCAGTCCACTGTCCCTCAGACCTTGTGGGGGGCTGGACTATATTTTGGGGGGGTGAATGAATTCCTATGCCCCACAAATAACCCAGAGATGCATTTTAAATAAAAGGACACATTCTACTCATGTAAAAACATGCTGATTCCCGGGCCATCCGCGGGCCGGATTTAGAAGGCGACTGGGCCGGGTCCGGCCCCCGGGACTTAGTCTGCCTACTCATGGATTAGATGATGATCCTCAAGGTCCCTTCCAATTCTATGATTCTATTTGGAGTGAAGTGTCATCAATATACATATGACATCCAGCTCTATCTCTCTTTTCCATCTGAATTAGGGGAGGCGGTTGAGATGTTATAGACCAGTGTTTGAAGGCAGTGACTGGCTGGATGTCAGCCAATAAACTGAAGCTGAAACCTGGATTCCCATGTCCAGAAAAGGGGGGGGGGCTGCCCTGGCCAGGGTTGAACTTGCACTACTCTGGAAGGAGCAGTTTCATAGTTTGGGGGTGCTCCTGGATTCAGCACCATCACTGGAGGCTCAGGTGGCCTCAGTGGCTGCTGTACCTTATGCTCTGAAAACTTCCAGATTGGATGCAAATGCGTTCTACTTGGGGTTTCCCTTGAAGTCAACTTGGAAACTTCAGTGGGTTCAAAATGTAGCAGCCAGATTAGTGACTCGGGTTTCATTTAGATCTCATATAACCCCAGTTTTAAAACAGCTGCTGCACTGATTGCCACTTCATTTCTGGGCCCAATTCAAGGTACTCATGTTGATGTTTACTGCCTTAAATGACTCAGGCTCCAAATATCTGACAGACCACCTCTTTCCTTGCACATCCTAGGAGTGCTGGGGTTGGCAGCCCTCTTGTCAGCTGCTCCGCCCTCAGAGAGGGCATTCTCTGTGGCACTCTGTCCCCACAGAGGTGTGACTGGCACCCTCATTATATAGTTTCTGTAGAATGCTGAAGATGCACCTTTTTACCCTGGCTTTTTTGACACCTGAGGTATATGTTTTTAGGACCCACCTTATTTTTATGATGATAGGATGTTTTCTATTGCTTTTAATATTGTGCTTTAATGTTGTAACCTGTCCTGGGACCTTAGGGTGAAGAGCAGGAAATAAATCTATCAATAAATAATCCCATACTATTTTCTCATTCTAGTCTCAAACTTTGTCAGAGCTAAAGCAATCCTCCCTGATCACTGCAAGCTCAAAGTTTCCTAACAAAGGAAATGTAGGGCGAATCCGAGGCATAAAAAAATCAAATTGCTGAAGTCACAAACATCTACTGCCATTCCCCCCCCCCCAAAAAAAAACCCCAAATATACATAAGAAGCTAGCTGAGACTTAGGGCACTGCAAGAACACTTGAAAGACAGTTTTTGAAATACTGTTGCTCCCATTTTACAAAGATACAAGACTATATCATTTATTTAGCAGACAAAGCATATTTTTCAATTAGCATAAGTTTGCTATTGGCCATTTTTACAACTATAAAAAGGTGGACCAGGCAGTATGCTCAATTTGACAAGGACAGTGAATTTGAAGTTCCAGGATTTGTTTCAGAAGCTGGCTCAGACCTTGGACTCTAGATTTTACATATTATGTTGCTATTATTTTTCATTGTACAAGCGAGCTGGCTGGGGTTGGAGGAAGAGCAAAGCAGTCTCTCTGTGTATACCAATAAAGTATAATATATCTCAATGGAAATTCAAGAAATCCCTAACCTACCATCAATAGGAAGGAAGGAATTTAAAGCTATTTCTGCAATATGACAATAAAACAGCCAAATGAAGGCACTCTTTCTTCCCTTATATTTAAAAACACACAAAGCAACCAACCCCCTTCATCACAGGCTATGTACTCCCACCCAAATGATTTCTGGCCCATGGAATCAACAGAAAGGGAAAGAGAATAACCTATTTATGCATTTTTCTGCTTTTCTTTCTGATTACACTAGTATCCTAGAAATGCAGAGATTTCAGTTAGTAGCTATGAATAGGTTTCTGTGGCACTTAAAACCAGAGCACATCTCTCTCCGCAAACAGCTCTTGCCATAAAATTCATGATATGAAGGTGATGAACCTTGACAGCTCTTCAGAGAAAATGAACACTGAATCGTTTTTTAAAAGCATAAGCAAGGCCTCAATCCCCTACAGCTTGAAAGCATTATTTCCCTTTTGGTAAATCCTGTTAGATTCTGCTCCACTCACTGTAAATCCAAGTCCTAGGTTTTCATTCTTGTTGAAGTATGTAAACACTCTTATTTCCTTTTCCCCACATCAGTATCTTCATTTCAATTTATATCTCTAGCATACAAAATCATTGCCCACTATGATGCAATGAGCTGTCACACACCTAGAACTACTAGGCACAGGAGAGTCACACAAACACTTGCTACTTTCAGGAGCGAGTTAGAAACAATTGGCCAATTAGGCTAGTCGGCATGATCATCTTTACTAATATGACCCACAAAATCTTGAACATTTCCTAGAGGGGGCGGGGGGGGAGCCTTGGAAAGGCCAGGTGAATATTGCAGCATTATTCACAATCCATAACCCTGCTTCCTTCTCCACAAAATCTGTGCTTACTGTTTTAAACATCTGACTAGAGAAGCAGCACATTGTAGGTTTGTTGGGTGGATACAGCAGCAGGAATTTATCAAATTATGCCCCAACACAAGTTTCTAGGCCAAAAGCCCACTCATGAAACCTTGTAATTCCCCAAGGAGCTTTATCTGTTTATTCCTTCTGTTCTTTCTAGCAGAGGTGACTCCATTCTCTTCATGCACCTGAACAGGATAATAAGCCACAGCCACAGAGCAGAAAAGGTCCCTACAGTCCCACAAATAGAAACCATATAATAAACACAACAGAGAGTCGAGAAATTTATCTGTTTGGTAAGTGACTAGCAACAAATTGACTAGGGTGCAATGGGAGAAGCAAAATCTTATTCTCTAGAGCAAAACAAAGGTGGCAATGTGGCCACACCCATATCATCCTTAGCAGGTTACAGTGTTTCTGCCTAACTACCATACATGTCAAGAGATACAGGTTAGGAACTTGGTTCTCTAGCCCTTGCGAGCAAATAAAACAGGTCATAACCACCAAAACACTGTGGTAAGTGGCACAATGCAGCACTAAAAAACCCAACCCAACCCAACCACCTACTTAGACAGGGCAGTCAGCCAAAACAAGGGAACATCCAATTTTCCTTTAAAAGCATTTGTCATAGAAGTTACAAGGATGAGCACAAGAGCATCCTACAACCTTAGCCCAGTTGAACAACTTCAAAAAACCTTTCAGTCCAACTTGTTTCTAAGGAGTTGTAAACTGATTGAAATAGGACAGGATCTTGAATCTACATAATCCAAGTAAGTCAGGACTCCACTGGGAAAGCAGAAAATCCCCCTCCCAAAACTGCTTGCAGGTCCAAACATACCAATTTAATTTCTAACCTCACAGTTTCTGAGATGGTATATCAGAGAACACAGTTTGTCATTTCTTTGCTACTAGTGTGTCAACACTAATTTTGACTATTCTGTTCTAATATTCAATGTTTAACATTTTTTGCTTCAATTAGAATAACTGTGATTGATCCAATCTGTTTTAAAAAGAAAAAGGGCATACAACCTTTTTTAAAAAAAGGGGGGGGGAGAAGTACAGTTAATCTATGTCAGGGGATCCAGGTTCTGAATTCTTGCTTAAGAACTTAAACAAGTTAGTATCAGACTAATGTCTATACTAACCCAGCATTTTAAAAAATGCATTTATTTTGGCAAGAATCCAAGGAAACAGGTGTAACTGGGGTCACTGAAAATTAGCCATGGCCTACTTTCTGACTAGCTCCAATCCAACAGCAAAAAACAATGAGCACATAGTACAGAGATGATTCTGCAACTTTAAGCAACCAATCCTGAGAAAACCAGCTTTTTAAGAAGAGAGTATAACAAAGACAATGGAGGTGACCAACAAATGTTGAGGTTGTATTGTGACCCAACTGCCCATGCCCTTATAAAAGTCACCACTTTCATAAATAACCTTAAGCAAGAATAATCTGAGCAAGTCTCACAAGCCCTGAACCTGCTAGACAAGATCAGGATGAGAAATTGTGTCACACAATTACTGGAGAATATTCATTTCCATGTGGATTATTTCTAAGGACTACTTCACACATTCATTTTTATATGGACATAATTCTCATGTAGGAAACTGCATATATTCCACATATACACATTGTCACATGTCATAAAACACATATTTTGTTGCATCTCCATATTGCAGAAACCCAGCCAACTGAAGTCACATACACATATCTGTGGCAAAACATTAACCATATGCAGCCATCTTTATGTGGGTTATCATTCAATCTCTTAACAGAAGCAGTATCAATGTAGGACTTTTATCAAGCATGAAACAGTTACAATTTCAAGTCATTATACAACAATATGACCCTACCTTGAAAGAGTGCTTGTTAGGACAAAGATGGAATATTTGTTCCCTAAGAGATGATATACCCCAGCAAACATCTACATGTGGAGGTTCAACAGACACCTGATCAGTTATATCTCATACAGCCGACAAGGTCACAGCTGTTGTGTCCCCCACAGGAGTTTTAATAGTTTTTAAACAGAAAAATAATCATTTATTTCCAACGATCTTCCAGATTTAGAAGCAGATTTAGCCTTCCTTGGTACAAATATCAGCCTAGTCCCAGTAAAATGTAAGAATCTGCCTTCATTTCCAGCTCATGATCAACAACAAGCCCATCATACACTATGGGACAAAATATGCCCTTTACAGCAAAGAAGAACACTGTAGTGTTTGGCATTACTGTGGAGACCCTAATTTCCAGCAGCAGTACCCTACCAGGCCCAGCCACCAGCCCACATCTTACCTTCTCTGCCTTGACCTTTTTGAGCTGTCGACACTCACTGTCACCAT